TATAGCCAGATTTAGAAATATCAATTTAGAAAGTTTCTTTTTATTTGCTTTATGTTTTAAATGTATTTTATGAAATTTATGAAAGAATGTCTATTAAATTAAGAAATCTATGAATGGCAGTAATATAATTCAATTAATTATTATTCATCTTTAATAATGAAGAGAGAGATTTGTACAAATATTATTTTTAAAAATCTCTTAATATAATATAACATGTATTTTGAAATTAATAAATGAAATAATTATATTTTCAAAGTAAGCAATGAGGCAAACTTAAGAGAATTTTAGAAAATTTTGGGCTTCGGGACAAGGGATAAGAGACGGGAGGATTCTTATATCATAAAATATATTTAATTACCATAAACTCTCACAGGTAACTAAATTAAAGGGGGAGAAGGAAATTTAGTCTTTATCGAGATTATACGTGCATTTAAGTTATTCAAATTCACGAAACTATCTTGATAAGAATTTCAATAATTCCACTCAATTAAATCACCCTTGTTAATCGCCCCCAGCTCAGTTCGATCCGAGACTGATAAGAATAAAATTTAGCGAATATATGGGTGTTAACCCGTTAATCGCTACAAAATAAACGAGCAAACATGCATAATCAATTTTTATAACTTTAATACAAAAAATTTCCTTTCATCATTCATCATATTTTAGGAGAAAAAAAGTTTTTGATAAAAAAAAGTAGAAAAATCAAAAGCCAAAAGGTGTGGTAAAAATAAATGATTGAGGGAGAGAATTAAATAAATATTTGTTGGCTTTTTTTCAATTATTTATATGTACGTAATTTTTATTTTAACAATTCTTTTTGTAAATTTTTTCTAAAAATGTTAAAATTAATTTAAATATATTTTGATTATCTTAATTTTATTATTCCAATGAAAATATAATTGAGGTGGCTTAAAAACTGGTAACACAGAGTTAAGTAAACGAGTGGATCTTTTAATAGGAGGTTTAAATTTAAAAAATTATTTGAAATTTTAGTTAATGTTGGTCAAAAAAGATTTTAATGTTAAAAATTTCTGTAGTATTTTTTTGGTAAAGTAACATTAAGAGTGCCTAATATATTTTCAAAATATCTAAACTGTTAAAAAAAAGCCTTGACCCCCCAAACATTTTCATTTTAACTTAAATATATTTATGTAATATTTTGCAAGTCTTCGATTATATTTTTTTCTAATTTTCCTATCAACATCAACAACCCCCCCCCCCCACCCCCCCCCTCTTTTCCAATTTCTGTGTGTTATCTGCGCGGCCTAAGACATTCCAATTAAGGTAAAATCAATCTTAAAAATGTTTGTGCTATTTGTATATATTTATTGCGTTTTTATATTTTAAATGAAAATAATAAAATATTGCGCGTGATAATTAAAGGATAAAAACAAAAATAAAAATTTGTGGACAAAAATATTTTTGGAGGAGATTTTTATTTATTTTTGGGATATCCAAAAAATTATTACGAAAAATGAAATTTAGTTAAAAATAAATATTTTATTTTTTGAAAAATAAATTAAAATATTTTTTATTAAAATTGCTGTAACGCTTCAGGGAAAGGAACACAATATTTTATTTTTTTGGTTGTAAAAAGAGAGAAAAGGAAATGACTATTTTTTTATTTTTCAATTGAAGATGAGAAAAATAATTTTCATTTTTGGTTGCCGTTTCCATCAAGTATGTAGTTGTTGTTGATTGGGGGCGCGAAGAAAACAGAAACCACAGAAAAATTATTTTAAAAAAATGGAAAAGAAAATGGAAAGGGAAATGACCAAAAAATATTTAAAAAAATAATTTTAAATTTAAATAATTAAATATTAAATTATAAAAAATAATTGGGTAATTAAATAAATAAATTTTTGTTTCCAAAAAAAAATTTTTTTTTTGAATTTAAAATAATATTTTTAGAATTATTAATTTGTTAATTAATAAAAATAATTTTTAAAAGAATTAAAATTAATTTTAATTAAAAAATATTTTGACCATCAAATAAACGAGAGAATATTTGGCGACTAGAAAAAGGTAAATATAAATAAATAAAAACAATTTTTTTCTAAAGAAGAAAACCCAAAAAGAAATTCATTTCTTCCCCGTTTTTCTGTTAAATATAATTTAGTAAAGGAAATAAAACAAATCAGAGCAAAAAGTAATTCCAAGGTCGATCAAAGATTTTGATAAGAAAAAATTCTAAATAAATATTAAAGAGAGAATTAAATAATAAAAATAAATAATTATAAATTATTTTAATTTAAAAATAAAAAAAATTAGCTAGTAAATTAATGGAAGTCCACTAAAAAGTTTTTAAAATTATACATAATTTTTAGTAATTATTTTTTTAAATAATTACCTAAATAAAAAATATTTTATCGAAATAAAAAATTAAATCAAATAAAACGGAAAATAACCCGAGAAAATTAAAATGTTTGTGGTACTTTAAAGAAAAAAAATAAAATTAAAAAAGGAAAAGTAAAGAAATTAAAAATAAAACTAAAATAAAAATTATTAACCTTAAAAAATTTACAAAAAAAATTTTTTTTGTAAATTTTCATTTAAAAATTTAAAATCCAAAAAAAAACAAGTTTTTTAGCTTATTTTTAATTTTTATTTAAAAATAAATGTGGCGACAGGATTAAAGTTAATAAAAAGGTGGACAATAAAGAGAGGAGGAAATAAATAAAATTTAGATTTAAGCGATTAATCTCTTTCCTCTCTCTCCTTCTCTTATTTGTTGATGACCCCCAATTTGGAAAGAAAGAAAATATTCACGCAAAAGTCAAAATGCAAAACAGAAAAAAATTTTTAGAAGAAGATTAGAAGGATATATATATTTAAATATGTATGTATATATTTTTGTGTTTTTAATTTTTGCCGAAAATTGTTTAAAAATGAGGGAAAAAAAAAGAAGATAATTTTTAAGAAAAAAATATTTTTAATTTCTTTTAGATAAAATATGTATATGATAGATAATTTTGAATTTTAAAAAGCGGAAGACGGAAGACGGAAAAGCAAAAAAAGACGGAATTCGGCGGAAGACGGAAGAAAATCCATCCCATTTACATAGCAGAGGTCGGTCGGAATTTCGATTTCCGACGTTTGAGCCATTTCCGATTTCCGACAGTTCTGATTTCCGGCACGATAGCCATTTCCGACCGACCCCTGGTACTTCTGGTACATAATACCTGTAAAAAGGAATAATTTAAAAATAAATAAAAATTGTAAAAAAGAAAATTTATATCTTTTTTCATCATTCATATCATCTAAATTTAAAAAAATTCTTTCTTCCTTTCACTTCAACAAATTTTCTATAAACTATTTAAATATATTTTTAATGCAATTTTGGAGCTTTTCCTTTTCCTTTATTTTTTGGATGGATTGAAGATTGCCCTTGTGTTGAATATTCTTGATGTTGTTGATGATGATCTTAATTAATTAAAATTAAATTACTTTTCAAATGATTTAAAAAAGCCTCGAATTATTGGGCGGCTTTGATGCTGAAAATGTGGAATACTTCCAGTAGACCCAATTATTGCTCTTCCCAATTGATTTTGATGAAGAAATTCTTTATTTTTAAAAATTTAAAATTAAAAAAAGTTTTTCTCCACCCTTGTTTAGAAGGTAGAGAATATTATAGGTAATAGAGTTTTCAATATCTCAGAATGTGAAATCTCTAAAATATCTCACCTCTAATGGATAATTTCAGGGAGAGACAACTAAGAGTTTGGGATACATCTTTTATTTTTGATTTAATTAAAAAATATGTATTATTAATCCAGGTATGTATTATTGATTTAATTGTATTATTGATTTAATTAAAAAATATGTATTATTAATCCAGGTATGTATTATTGATTTAATTGTATTATTGATTTAATTAAAAAATATGTATTATTAATCCAGGTATGTATTATTAATCCACTCATTTTTACGAAGTTGCTCACAATTACAGAAAGTTTTTCACAATTTTTTAGAAAATTTTTGTCGAAAAATTAAATCGAGGTTAATTAAATTAAAATTAATTAATCGAAAAGATATTTTAATAATTTTGACAGATTTCGATAATTTTGTTTTGTTTTCATAACTTTTGTTTCGGGTTTTTCTAACTATTTACATATCTACTTATTTCTTTATATGAGGACAAATTTGAAATATATATCTACCTTTTTGAACATTTACTCGATGTTCATCCGTCATAATGTGTCGAAATAATCTACTTTCCCTTTTTTCAGACAACTAAAATATTTAAAAAATAATAATTACAAATTTAGTAATATTAAAAACTATTGAATTGCATAACATGCATTTAGCTTTTTTATTGTCAAATTTGAAATATTTTTTGTTTTCTTCAACTAAGTTCAAGTCTAATTGTTTCTCTTAATTTAATTATTAATAAAATAAAAAATTAAAACAAAAACACTACGATTTGGATTTAAAGCTCGTCTATGTTTAGCTGATAATAAATGATCACTAATATTACTTTTTAAACGTGGAGTTAACTTAAATAAATGTAAATATTATTAGGTTATATTTAATTATATAGATAATTACTTTAGAACGACAAACATTACAAATAAGTATATTTGTATTTACTTCTATTGTAAAATTGTCAAGTTGGTTAAGATCTCTTAACCATATTTCCAACCATTTTCTATATTCTAAATTTATAATTACATTAATATAACTTTAGTTCCAACCCCTCCATCTAAATTAAACTTAATTTCGTATCATTCGAAGGTCTCGACATGCAAAATAATCATTATTAAATCAACTCCATAAAAAGTTGCTTATCTCGAAATCTTTCAAGGGCTTGGATCGGAAGTGGGGCTTGGATCCAGGGCTTGGATATGAAAATGTCAAGCCAATAAGTTTAATTAGGAAGCAAATAGAGGGGGGGGGGGTAAATATAAATATGCTACAAAAATATAATTTCAAAATACAATTCATATCACTCATATTTCTCTTTCAAAATTCCGCAGGTGAGAACTTTGAAAATTTTAATATTAAATTTGATTTTTAACCAAAAAGCTCATATGTAAGTACGTATATGTAACTTGGACATCGACACTTAATGTCAATGTCGTTTGGTGGAATAGGCCCCTGGTATAATCACCCTTTTGCTGCTCTGTTTGTCCCAATGCATGATTTTCTGTTACATCTTTTTCCATTACAAATTCATGTCTAACGGGCTGTGGAGGGGATGTTGTGTGATGTTGGCAGTTTGACAGTGAAAATTGATCCAAATCATAGCCAAAAATGTCAAAATTATCCAAAGGCACTTCTGTTGGATATGTAGACAATGATTCAAGTTGATAAGGGCTATTTCCAAAATAATTTTGGTTTTCGAATTCAGCATTTTGTGTTGAAGATTCGTGACCAAAATTAGGTTCAAAAGATGGATATGTTGGAATATTTGTTTGATTTGTCCAATCCCCAATATAATTCATTGAATCAGGCTCTTCATGTTGATAATAAAATGGATGCTCTCTATTTACTTGATTTTCATTCCTTCCTCTTGATGAAATATTACTACCCATTTCACTTCTAATTGGACTTGCTTCTCCGTTATCATTTGTAAAATAAATTAAAATAAAAAACAAAAAAAGAATTTTCATTCTTATAATCCTTTAAACATAAAAATATTTTTTAAAATATTTATGTAGTTTTTAAGTTAATAAGAATTAATCTTTTGTGGAGTATGTATGTACAGATAAAATGTACAGATAAACTTACCGTATTTTCTCGATTAATTCCCCCCTCTCGATTAATTCCCCATGTCAGAGTTGGGTTGAAACAATAATTCCCCACCCCCAAATACCCTAATGCACGTTCAAATGCCAAAACTCAAATAATTCCCCTCCCTCGATCTCGAATAATTCCCCCTCTCGATTAATTCCCCATGTTCCCATGCCGAGTGAAAAAATAATTCCCCAGGGGAATTAATTGAGAAAATACTGTATTTATTATTTGAGTTTTGTTTCGATTAGAATTAGAATCTTTTGGGTTCTAAAGCCAACAGAATTGTTTTGACTTTTTGCTATATTAATCTCCATAATTAATATTTTAAAAAATACAAAATTAAAAAAAAATAATTTTTTATAAATAAAATTAAAAAGAAAAGTCAATTAAGAATTTCATGTGGCATGAATTTTGAAATGAGATGCGCGCGCATTTACTTGCGCAGTGCTGTAAAGGATAGATGTATCTGATCTTATCGATTGGGGTAAGTGGTTTACCAAATGATAAAAGAAATAGGATCGGTAGCGAGTCTTTTTGAGATGCCGAGATGAAAACTTGAATCGAATTCCCAGTTTCCTAGTTTGGATTTGGAAGCTCAATCTTCTTGCTTTTTTAAACCGGGAAACTATGAAGAAAAAAGTCAATGAAATTCAAGATAGATAAAATTCCAAAATAACAGCTTTCCTAAGGTGACATTTTAATAAAATTTATTGGGTTGTCAGGAGGAGGAGCGAATTCGCTTCTGTCTACGGAGCGAATTCGCGTTCTGGGATCGGGACCTACGATTTGCTGGTCTACTCTATTCCTTAGCAGTATATTGCAGTTTACCAAATTGCTTGGTCCGATTCAGTAGAATTAGATGAAGACATCCTAATCCTATTAGTGACATTTGGGAGAACGAACACTCAAAGGGAAACAATATTCGTTTAATACATTTATGTATATAGCAAAAGGATTTGATCAACAACACTATTTTTTAAATATTATTTTTTCAAAGCCAAAACTCGTAAAAATCTTCCAATTTATAGAGTATATCCATAAATTCTCGATAAACAACAAAATTAACATAAAAATTAACTTTTTCCAAAATTATCTTCCCTTCCAAAAATGCCTTCGTGTTGTTATTCTCCTCAGAATATTGTTCTTCTTTTTTAGATATTTTGTTGTTTAAATAATAAAAAATTTAAAAAATGTTGTCAATTTCTTTTTCTCCTTTTCCATTTTAAAAACTCATTTCCAAATCAAGTATATTCATTTTTTAATTATTTCACAATCCTCTTTTTTAAATCCCAAAAAATTTTTCTTTTCAATTTTGTTTCTTAAATTTATCTGCAACAGTTGTTTTATTGGTAGATTGTTTTGATGTTGAAGATTTTGAAGATAAAGATTTTCCACCAGGAGGACGGTAAATTTCACGTTCAGGACGATCCTTAATAAAAAAATAATATTAAAAGCAATTTAAGAGTATAAATGGAGGAAATAAAAAGAATAATATAATAAAAGAATTTGGTCGATGAAACGTGATTATTAGAATTACTTTTTTTTTGGAAATTTTTAATTGTCACATAGAGGTGGGAACTCATGGGGAACTAAAAAACTAAACTATAGTAATTGAACTAAACTCATGTGAACTCTATGGAGCTCATATCGGAATATTCTAAAGTTACCCGACTGATTCAGGCTACATCTCGAATACATTATATATTAGAAAATCGAAAGCAAAATACAACAAATCTAAATTTCGAAACAACTCCGAAGATCCCGATATAGTATATCTCACCACCACTCCCTTCTTAGATAAATTAAAAATTTACTTTTGCCCTAACACGTGTTGAAGTAGATAATTGTTTCTTTTCTTTCTCTTTATTTTGAACTTGATTTTCTATTTTATCATCAATTTCTTCAGTTTTTGTCTCTTTTTGTTTTGTTTCCAAATTATCTTCTTTTAATTGTTTTGAATAATTTTTAGAAATAATATTTTGATTTTCGACAACATTTTTCTTTTCCACATCTTTTTTGGTCATCTCATCAACTTTTGTTTTCAATTCATTAGTTTTTTCCTTCTTTTCAATATTTTGATTATCAAGTTTATTTTTCCCTAAAAAATATTTTTTAGAATTATTTTTTTAATTTGAATTTAATTACATAATTTCGCTAGTTTTAATTTGAATGAGATGTAGGTTTAGAAAAAATTAAAAAAAACCTCCAGACTCGCGACGTTCCTTTCCCGTTTTCCTCAACTGTTGTTGACTCCCTCTACCAACTCCAACAATTTCTATATCAGCATTAATAGTTGCTTCATTATTTTTACTTCTCTTCTTTACTTCACCAACAATTTCATTTTTTCCTTTAATTTCTTTTAAATTTTTCTTTTCTGATTTTTGTTTTTTTATATTTTTATCAGAATTTAAATTAATATCAGGTGTTGTTTCGCGTGAATTTGAGAATGAACTGCCAATTAAAAGTTGCTTCTTTTCAATTCGTTCAACCAATTTTTGTTGCTTTTTTCGTCCCTAAACAAAATTATTTTTTATTAAAAATCCAAAACAAAACCTTTTCATTTGAAAGTTTATTAATATATTCAGTTAAAGGCGTTTCTTGTATCATTCCCTCTTCCTGTCGACGTTGCTTCTCTTCTAATTGACGAACAAGTACATCAAAGTCAATAACTTTTTTGGTGCCAGCATTCAAAGTCTGATTGTATTGATCGAGAAATTTGAGATATTGAGCTTCTAAAATGAATGGGATTTTTTCTAAATTTTAAATTAATAAATAAAACAACCATTCTTTAAAGTTCCACAACGAGTATCACATTCTTTTGCAGTTAAAGTTTTATCTTCTAACAAACTTCTAGGAAATGATTGATTTAATGCCCATTCAACAATAGCCATAGATTCATTTCCTAAAAATTCTAATTATTTATTAAGTTAATTTATTAACCTAATTTATCAACAAAAACATAGCCATTAAAACGTTCAGAAAATTGTACAGCCTAAAACATAAAAATAAATCTCTAAAATTTAAATAATTCCCTCACATCTTTTTCCTCATGAAAAACTAAATAAGAACGCGAGAATGCGTGTGGCTTCATTTCCATATCAGCGGGACAAAACCAAAAAGCACAAGGTTCTGATTGAAAAGGTTGAAGTTGAGCAAAAAGCTCGTCTTTTGACATCCCTGGAGGAAGACGACGGAGCACAATCTGAAAATTTCTTGTAGCATCAATTTGCAAAACACTTGAAGAACTCATGAGGAAATGTGAGAAAACAATTTATAAATTTAATTTTACCTTAGCCATTTCTTCTTTTTCCTTTCCTCCAATTTTCTTTTTGTTTAAAGTTGTTTCTGCCTCCACTTTGTTTGAAGTAGTTATAGCTGTTTTACCATCATCCAATATAGCCTCATCCTTCGCAGTCATTAGTTGGAAAGTGACAGATTCCTTCCTAGCAATTCTGAATTTTATTTAAGAATATTTTTAAATTCTTTTTAATTTAAGAATAATTTATTTAATGTTATAATAACATAAAATTAAAGAAAACAAATTTAAATATTTAAAATTTATTCAATCTAAATATCACAATAATTAAATAAGCACAATCTTTAAAAGGCAAATAAATATATTTTCTCTAATTATAAATATTTTAAATATTTACTCGTAAAAGAAATTATCATTTTTAGAGAAAATATCATTTTAAAAAATAAACAAAAAAAATTTTAAAAAGTATTTTAATTAATAATAAAATTTAAAATTTAAAATACTATGAGGAATTTAAAATTCCTTTCGTTTTAAATTTTTAATGACTAAAATTTTTTAAATAAAATTCTTTAAGTTAAAATATAATATCAGGATATTTGGTTAAAGGTATATAAAAATGTTAATGAAATGCACTTGCAATAGTCGACGGAAAAACGTTTTTCTGGAAATTGTCGGGTTATCAGAAAAATAAACTTTTCTTTGGGCTTCAAGTTTGGTATCCAAAATTTATATGAGCAACGGGTGGTTCCGACGTTCCGAAATCCAAAGTAAACTTGAAACCCAAAGAAAAGATGATTTCCTTTAATCTATAAACTTATAATTTATACAATATTTAAAAAAGAAATGAGCAGGAATAGTTTGTGAATGTTAAAAATTATTCTAAAAGGCAGAGCGAAAAATCTAGCCTCACTGGTATAAAATAAAAAATGATCAAGGACACATGAATATTTTGTAGAATTTATAAGTAAATCTATTTTGATAATTTTTTAAGTCTAATAAATAAATTAACTTAAGAAGGGCTGTCCGGAATTTTAAAAGAAAACATTTTTATAAACAAAAACAATTAAAGGACAAAAAGTCAAAGACATGAAACAAGCATATATTAGAAAATCCTAATACTGACAATTAGTCAGAAAACATACTTAATTTGTGAAATATCAACAAAGTTTAGTTGAATTTAATAAATCAGATTAAATTATTCAACATATTTTTAATTATTTCAAATAAAAAAACTGAACTTTTAATATGTATAATTGTGGAATAAAAAACACCGACAAATAAAAATGATTTTTAAACACTTTAGGTATCGGGACAAGTTATATACTAGAAAAACTTAATTCCCAATACTTAGGATTTAGAGAAAACAAAAGAGAAAATTTATTAATTAAACTAATGTAAGACAATATTAAATGTTATAGAGAAAAACACAATTCTCAATAATTATAATTTAAAGGGAAAATTAAAAGAGAAATTTTATAATTATAAGGGTCATAAGTTAGGAAAAATCATCTCTTTTTTAAGAAGATGACAAATAAAGTCTATATATTATAAAATTCACCTAAGCATTGAAGCAATAAATATCACTATTTTGAATAATTTTGTCTAGATTGCAGTGGAAGTGCTTGCATCATTACCAGAAGAGAGAATATTACTAACAGATTTCGAACGACCAACAAGCGTAGAAGCAGAAACTGAAGAAGTTAATGGAAGAACATCGCGAGCATCTTGGAAGACGTCATTATCATCTTTGGTACGGCCAGCCTCGATTGCTGGAGTTGGACTACGAGAGACAAGCCTTTTGAGTTGACGAACCTGAAGAATATAAAAATAAAAAATCAACATGTATTTTATTGAAATTTATTTAAAAATTAAACAAATATTACATCAAGACTAAGCTGCCCATCACGATGGAATTTATCAACAAAACCACGAATGAAGTCATCTGAACGACTCTTCCAATTGTTAATGAATTCAACGCTTTTTTGCTTCCATTGGTCAATCTGGTTTTGAAGTTGATATTTTTGAGCCTAATTTAGGAAAAAAGAATTTTTTTAATTCAAAAAAAACAAACCGAAAAGAATCCAACATTTAATTCCTCCCTAGTATAGCCACGTTGAAGATTTCGACGAATATATTTGTCATAATCTCTTATAATTCGAGAGATTACATCACTAGTCGAAACACCTTCTGTCCGGTCTGTTTCCTAAAATCATAAAAAATTTAAAACATAAAATAAACAAACCACAAACATTCCAGCGCGACGAAATTTTTCATAGAGATCCTCTTCGTTTGGAGCGACATAAGGAACAGAATCATGAGCAATAAAGTCAACCTTTAAAAATATTTTTATAAAAAATAACTAAAAAACCTTAATACTCTTCAAAAAATCCACAGTCACATACCAAGGCGAATTTCGATAAACTTCATCAACATAACGACAATGTCGAACACTCTCATAACGCTCCTGAAATATTAAAGAATTATAAAATCAGTTAATACATAAAGTTATACATTTTCTGATGTTACAGTACGACCTTTGTAATGATGTGTAGCTTCATCGCCATTCACTAAAATTAAAAATAGACAAATTTAGCTTTGTTCATCAATATAATTAAAGGCCATACACAAACCCGTAGCCCCACCTCCCACCCCCCGAACATTTTTTCTGGCTATGGGCCCTACATGCAAATAACAATAATTATAAAAACCTCCAACAATCAAATAAACATTAGGGAATGCATTCTTAGCTTGTCGCAATTGATTGGCGTGGCCATAATGAAAAAGATCTAAATATTTAGAAAAGATAAATTATATGTATTCTTCTAACCATAAATGCCATCAGCAAAAACTCGAATTGGACGACCAGCTTAAGAGAAATTTTTAATACCTTTTAAAAACATTCTAAAAAATAAAATACCGGTATTATTTTTAGCCATTTCGTGAGTAACTTGAGTGGAATAATCAAGTGCCTCCCTCGTAGCAATAGCTTCAGGCTCATCACTGAAAGGCGCAGGTCCGTTAAGAGCCAAACCATTCTGAACTTTTGATGGAATGTCTAAAGGCTTTTCAGGAGAGAATTTTCGATCTTGACCAACCAACGAAGCGCCAACACCCAAAACATCCTTCATATGTTTCATTTTCTTTGTTCTTTGAAGAAGGGAGAGTTTAATTAATTTATTTAAAAATAAAAATAACCGTGGCGAAACCTGCATATTCTCAATTCCAATCTGTTCTGGTGCAGCACTAACAGTATTACCAAAGGATCTCTTATGGCCACTCCAAGTCCCAGGATCATCATCAACATCCAAATCATCTTGCAAATCCAAACCATCTGGCAAAGTTTTGCCTTCCATTTTTTGGAATGTTTCAGCATCTTGATGACGCTTACGACCGCGTGATGATGGTTGTTGTTTACGCTGAGACATTTTTATATTTTGATGCTTATTTTTGAAGTGAAGAGCAAATTTGAGCAAAAAGGAAAAGGAATGTTTTCAGAGAAGCTAGAAATGGTTAATTAAAAATGACAATTTAAAATTTTTGGCAAGGAAACGAATTATTAAAAAAAATATTTTTTAATTGATAATTTTTCAATTATGGAAATATAAGGTGATCAAATACAAGACTAGTGTCAGTCAAAAATTTAAAAAAATATAATAAATGAGTGAAATACATAAAATGATTACGCTAACGTCATATTAAAAATTACGAGAAAAATTCAGAAATCAAAAATTTCTTTTTAAACAATTATTTTTTAGAAATTTAAAATTTTTGGCAAGAAAAAAATTATGCATATGGGAAATAAAAATTAATAAAACAACATTAAATTTAAAATGAGAAGGAATGATTAGAAAACCAGAATCTTATCATTAACTTGTTGATTTAAAAATACATAAAAGACAAAAATGTGAACGATTTAAATTCGATATTTAAACTAAAATGAGTATTTTGTCTGAAAAATTAATCTCCAAGTACGCGTGTACTAGGTAAAAATACTAAAAAGAAATTATCAGTTTATCAATTTCTCTAGTCAACTCAAAGGTTACCTACATTGATTTAGTTAAGTGAAAATAATAGTAAGGGGTAATTAGAAAAGTAGAAATACACAAAGTATTCACAAGCATAAATGAGATTTGACTTACAAGATTCTCAAAATGCGCTAAAATTCTAGATTCTGGCGCAAAAAACAACAAAAATTGGGAACTGATTGAGCGTGTTGCGGTTTCGTCCCAATGAACAAAACTCGTATTCGTCCCCCGCGGATTAATCCCACTGCAGAAAACTACGTATTCGCCCCAACTCAAAATGTCCAACAGAGTAAATATACTCGATTCGTCGTTCTATAAATTTGAAATGAGGTGTTATGGTCGTTCTGGCGCGAGAACTCAAAACTGTAAAAATTAAATTCATGAAAATTTTTACATTTTATAAAAAATTTGAAGAAACCATTGTCTAGTTTCACTTATTAAAATTGTGGCCTTAAAGAGGGTCATTGGTTTAGCTATTTATGTATACAAGAGCACTTGGAACAATTTTTATTTAAAAATATTTATTTTTTTATATTCTTTAAAAAAATTAGAAAACATTTTAAATAAAAATCAATCAGATGTCGTTCCTTCTCTGTTGGATTCAACTAAATATAAATTTATGCATTCTTTACTTGGTTTTTCTGTCATAACCCAAGCTTCATTTTCTTTCATAGGACGTCGACAAAGAGGGCAACACTTTTGGTTAATCCTCAAAAAGCTGTTTATACAAGAAGAGCAATAGGCATGGGCACACGGTAAAACCGCATCTGGACGAGCATCGAAACAAATTATGCATTGCCCGTCTTCCACATAACAACTAGAAATTTTAATCAAAAGGGTAGATGAAAATAGAAGAACCTTTCATCCAAAATAGCAATTTTCATAAAATCTTTCGAAGGATCTGATGTACTTGTAGTCGATGCTTCTGAAGCGTCTAGAATTTGAATTGTAGTTTGATAAAATTTGAGGAATTGGTAAAGATTGTAGGTCCTTCTATAAGGTTTTTCATCAAGAACCTGAAAAAGAATGGGGTTGGTATGTTTATAAGAAAGAGATGAAACCGTAAAACAATGAACTCGAACTCCTAATTGCCAAATAAATTTATCGTCAGGATTATATTTAATAGCAAAAAGCATATTCATTTGGTTCTGACCGAAGCATTTAATACACCTATAAAAATTAATAAACGTGGAATTTTTCTGCTCTTGAGGAAAAATGAGGGGAGGCACTTTTTCGATATTTTTAAAAGAACAAATATAAACAAAACCTCTCGTTTAATTCTTGAACAAGTGATTCCAATTCTTCTTTATTAATTAAAATACATCCAAAGAATGGATTATTTAATGATCGTTTGTGTGACATCTACAAAATTAATTTCAATAAATTTAAAACTTTTCCTGAGTTTTCAAATTAAAAATTTTAAAGCCACACTCCTTATGGGGAAGTTCTCCTAGTGTGCGGTAAAATCGCAATCTCGGAAAGGGGTTTAAAAGGATTTTCTTCAAAAAAATTTTCGGAACGGGATCCCGCGGGATTAATCCCGTAAATCCCGCTCGTCGCTTAAAACACGGTATTTCAGGACGGGATCTCGGGTACAGATCGTACGGGTCCTCTTTGATGGCTTCATATTTTGCCAATTCCATATTCTGTCAAAGTCACATTTTGCCAACAAGGCTGATATTTTGCAGTGGAATGAAGAATCGCATGGCGTTTTCTCATTAATTATTTATTTAAATTTTTAGTATTTTCTATAAATGAATTCTCTTGAAGGAGAACGCGAAGAATTTATTATGCCAAAATTAACTCCAATAAAACGTGGACAAAAGCAAATAAATGTTCTCGATTCTCCCAGCAAAGTTCAGGCAAGAAGTCGTCTTGGATCTTTACTTGGGCAGATTAGAAAAGGAGAAAGTAGCCAAACAAATTCTAATGAATTACAAAATTCTAGAGATCAACTGTAATTCTTTTTTTAATTTATTTAACAAAAATAATTTTAGCGATATTTATGAAGAATATGATTCGAAAACGGGCGGCTCCATTCGTAGTAGAAAAATGAGAAGAGAAAAACGTAAAATTAAATTTTTTAAATTTTAAAAATAGGTACTTTTCCGTTATCCCTACTGATCTTTTTTGTGGAGAGAAGAGATGGGTGATATCCTTCCTCAATTTCACTCTATTTCCCTGTTCCATATTCAAGTGAGGGGACACCAAACATAAACTAACAGTTGGTTCAATGTTCGGGAATAAGTTGATTGCCTTTTTTCTCCAAAAAATTGGAAGAAAAATTGCCCGCAAAAATTCCTTAAGGATAACGGAAAAGTACCAAAAAATTATTTAAGGTGTTGTTTTTGAACTTCGTGGAAAGCCTTTTGGTTTGCGTGACACTGGTCGAAGTGAAAGTATCTATGCTCTTTGTAGAAAATGGATGTATGGAAAGGATGACGAGCCTTTAGATCAGGAGAGTGGATATTTAGACGAACAAGAATACGAGCCACATTTTAACAAATCTTTGGTAATTTTTTAATAAAAAAATTTTTTAAAAATTTTTATTAAAGGATTTAATGGCAACTAGAGAAATTAATGCTTTACCTCCACCTCTACATGAAGTACCTTTAATGGATCCGCGTCCACAAAAAGTTATGCGATTTGAACCGCCAGCGAATGAGGAAATTACTAGCAAAGAGAAAACACTTGAAGAATATAGAAGACATTGGAAACGTGTAAAAAAGAAGTTTGTTGTTTTCTTTTTTTAATTTTTAAAAACAAAAATATTTTCAGTTGGCTTGACTATAATCAGAAAAGACAACTTCGTTACAAAAATAGTTTGGTAAGATATTTAAAAAAAAATTTGAATTTATCCAAATATTTTTAGCAATTACTTCGAACAGTTTATGGAATTGCACAGCAAACACAAGTCCCATAAAAGAAGGGAATTAATCAAAAGAATATGTAATAATTATTTTTATTTTGTCGTATTTACATTTTTTTAAATTGGTTATTTGCGATTTAATATTTTGCGAAAATTTAATACTTGCGATTTGTTAAAAAAATATTTAATGAGGACGTGAAAATTGAAATAAATTTTCGAAAGCAATTTTGGTATTTTTTTAAATAAATTTCAATGACATTTTTGTTTTTATGATAAAAAGGCCTAACTATAAAACTTAAATTTTTCAACTAACAATAAGTCAAAACACCTTTCCGACTTTTCCCTCACATTTTTTAATTACCCGGGTGTATGAGAAAATAAATGATTTTAAACAGGAAAATGAAAGAACTTAAGTTTCATAAACCATCCTTATAAAAACAATTTCATAAAAACCAAAAAATATTTATACTCATAATCAATAAATTCCAAAAATGTTTAAAACAATCATATGCCGTCAAAAGCGCCCAACTAAACTTGGTGTGGTATTTTAAATAAATTTAAAAAGAAAACCAAATATTTTAAAAGGAGTATAGAGAATTGATAAAGTTTAAAAAATAAAGTCTTAAAGGATATTTAGAGGAGAGAAAATAATATTTTTTTTTAAATAAACTGGAGGAAGATTTTTTTATCCCAAAAGCGCAAACTTTTTTGTCGGCAATTTAAATAAAACAAAAAATTTAACTCTTAAAATCATCATCAGAACTCTTCAGGTCATCATCATCTTCTTCAAAAGAAGAAATTGTCGACTTGTCTTCCGCCCCATTATTATCCTTAACCTGAGCAGTCGCAGTCTTCTTCTTGTCAATTACAGGCCCAACACCATATTTAATTAAATGACGAATCTAATTAAATTTTTTTAAATTTTTGAATAACTTTTAAGAGAAAAACCTGCATACAAAGAACACCCAAAACATTCTTCCCTTTCCCAACCAACGGAATGTATTTAACTTTGTCTTCATCAAGGTCACTTGGAAACTAAATTAAATTTTATTTTTAATTTTATTCTTAAAATAAACTTTCAAGATTTTCCCTTCATTTTCACGTGCCCATTCACGAAGTTTTTCCTCAGTCATTCCAACAGCATAAAAAGCATCACGATCATAAGCTTGGCAAAGGAGAGCATCTCCAGTAGCCAAAAGCTTATCACGCATTTCTTGGTTTTGGGTAAACTTGAAACGGATTCCATGGAGAAGAACCAACAATCCCGTAGTATTTTTCCAATGTTCAACCTTTAAAAATACGGTAATTTTGAACTTCGTACCCCCCCCCCTCTTTTTTTCGTTTACAAAGTATTAAAAATGGTCAGTCTTAAGATGATTATAAAACACAACGAGCTGTGTCGAACGACACCAAAATCAAAAAAATCCGACTTGATTTGACCGAGATACAGACCCCTGAAAATTAAACAACCACAGGGTCGAAAAACCAAAAGGACGAAAAAGTATACAAATGATAGCTCATTCGAAAGAGCTCGTCGAGTTGAGTCAAATGACACCAAAATCGACGTGATCCGACTTGATTTGACGAAGATATGACATAAATCATCGACTCCGGTAGGTCTAAATAATGTCATAACTTTGTCAAATCTTGTCCGATTTCGTTGATTTTATTGTCATTCGACTCAGCTCGAAGAGCTCTGTCGAATGAGCTATCATTTGCTTAAATTTTTTTTTAATTTAAAAAAATCACCCATGTGGTTGTTCAATTTTCAGAGGTCTGTATCTCGGTCAAATCAAGTCAGATTTTGTTAATTTTGGTGTCATTCGACACAGCTCGATGGGTTCTACAATTGTTGTTCAGACTGACCATTTTTAATACTTTTAAAACAAAAAAAAGGGGGGGGGTACGAAGTTCAAAATTACCAAAAATACTTTTTAAAAAATAAAATAAAATTCTTTTAAACCTTCTGGTTATTAACACGATAATTTCGAAGAATGTCTTTAGCCTTCTGTTTAACCTTCAAAGTATCCAAAACATTACGCAACAACTGAGCCTGATCCGGGCCAACCAACGAAAAAATTTTGCAAGCCTGATAATAATGTTCAACTGATGGATAGTCATGCCCGTCGACGTTAATTTTGACCTAAAAAATTGTTAAATATTTAAATTTAATAAAAAATTAACCGGATAAAGAGTGCTCAAAAAATGTCCTTTCCCATGAAAGCAAACCAAATTATTAGATTTCAAAATATATTCAAAAGCAGGAAGTTCTACTGGTGTTTCAACAATAGCCAATTGACTTAATTGCTTTTCAAGTGCAGAAGCACCACCATCACCTCGCTGCTTCTTAGTGTTGCCATTTCGATGAGTAATCTCATTGCTGACAAAGCTTGTATAGTTTTTACCACTCGGACGATCAGCAGAAAAATCCTCCTTGCGTTGACGGTACTGCTAAATAAATTAAATATATTTTTGGAAAATTTTGATGAAAATTTAGTCCTCGAAAGTCTTAAGAAAAGGAAAACATTAGAGAGCGAGATTTTCAAAAAATTGAGTCAAGGAAAAATCAAGGAACTCTGAAGAATGCCTTGAGCTGGACTCTGGATCCAAGAAAAATCAATATCTGGATCCAGATCCAGCTCGCTCTCTAGAAAACATCAAAAAGAGATCTGAGAAAATTTTTTAAAATAACACAAAATTAACCATAAATTGATTGGTCAAAGGACGCAAATCCATCATTCTTGGCGCAGGATTCTGAGTTCCGCTAATTAACAGATGAGAATAAGGTGTCTCTGGCCCCATTCCATTTAAAGGAAGTAAATGATCTTCTTTTTGAGTTTTCTCACGTCGTTTCTCAGCAGCCTGTTTTTTCTCATCAAGCTGACAATTAGTTGAGCTCATTTTATTTTACTTGTAAGAAACCTTTTTTAAAGTAACTGGTGTTGCCATGAAAATAATCAATAAAAGAGAAAAGTGATAAAATGCGTCAATAAATTATAAATAAAAAGTCTGAAAAAGGAAATTTTAGTAAATTAAAATAATTAAAAATTTGAGGCCTAAACTCGTGAATCGTCACGAAAAACGATAAATGAAATTAATCAAGAAAAAATTCGGAACCGGTCGTTTTGCCGCGCAACAGGTTATTGCAAGACAATTTAATTACCGTCGTAGTTTGCCGCACACCATCATGGCCGAACGTTTCGCAAATGAACTTTGCTTCGTTAAATGAAATTTTCGCGTGCTAATTTTCTTCATTATTGCTTTACTAGCTAATCTGGGCAAAATAACTTTGTAAACCTCATACAAAATTGAGAAAATAAAAAAACAATAATTACTAATTTCAAAAATATGATCAACCATTCTCTCAATTGTAACTTTTAAGAAGACAAAATAGGAGAGAATACGGTAATGAATTCTTCCCATGAACAAAGAACAAATAAAATTAATCTTTATCTGTTTACAAGATCTTTAATAAAAGTATTTTTAAATTTATAAAAATTTTAAAAGCAAGACTAGAAAATTATAGAGTTATGAGATTATTTTTAGTTAAGAATATTTTTTGAGCATAAAGGATTAGTGTAATTATTGAGGTTATTTGTTAGGACCAGAGGTGATTCAGAAATGACGAAGGTGCCGGAAATCGGAACTGTCGGAAATTGGAACTGTCGGAAATTGGAAATGGCTCAAAAGTCGGAAATCGGAATTCCGACCAACCTCTGGTTAGGACAGAAAATTATAAATTTTTTTTATTTTTGATAAAATATCTCAATTTTTGGCAAATTCAAATTTTCATAAAAATCTTCAAATTTCTTGTTCGAATATTCCAAAGGAAGTCTTGAAATTAGGCAATTATTTATAATAAATTTCTCTCCAATTTGATTATTCCATTCACCCCATAAAGCACGATCAATATTGTTTAAAGGAAATTGAATGTAGAACATTCTCTTTTCTGTAGCTAACATAAAATGCTGTAAAAAATTTAAATTGAATGAAAGGTTGGTGTTAGTGACTATAAAGTTGTCTATTATACATAAGTATTAATAGGATCAAGATTATAAAACGTTAGACGACAGACTGCAGTTTGAGTGGTGTAGTTTATAAAGGATATTATGTGACTAGTAAGGGTGGTGCTTGGGAAATCTCCGGGTATTCGGAACCGATATCCAATATAAAGTTACGGATATCCACTTTTTTCGGTTCGGATACACGGAACTGCCAACCTTAATGACTAGATATCAAGGGCGTATCCAGGGGGTCGGTTTCGGGGGGGGGGGGGGGGGGGCTAACACTGGGTGGGCGCAAAAATTTTTGGCGTTTACCTTGGCGTTCCTACGGCAAATTTTTTTGTACATAAATTTTCATCACTTCAGCGCCGCAGGCGAAAATTTTTTTAAATTCGAAGGCCGTAGGCCAAAAAATTTCACTTTTTCAGCGCCGCAGGCGAAAATTTTTTGGAATTTGGAGCCCAAGAAGCCAGATTTCTTCCTTTTTAGCGCCGCAGGCGAAAATTTTTTGAATTTGGAGGGCCGTAGGCCAAAATAGTTCACTTTTTAGCGCCGCAGGCGAAAATTTTGAGGATTTTGGAGCTCAAGCAGCCAGATTTCTTCCATTTTTTGCGCCGCAGGCGAAAATTTTTTAAAATTTGAGGGTTGTAGGCGAAAAAATTTCACTTTTTCGACCATCCTTCTCCTAATTTTTTCCCCCTTTCCCCCATTTCGGGGGGGGGGGGGGGGGGGCTTTAGCCCCCCCCCCCCCCCCCCCAGCCCCCCTGGATACGCCCTTGCTAGATATAGATTGCTTAACCAAAATTTTCTTTTACGGATTATTGGTAGTTAAGTACCCCCTACCCATTAATTAATAAAAAGCATGCACCTCTTTTAATTTTTGAATTAAAGAAGAAATATCCAAAATAATTTTACATTCATTATTTCCAGTAAATAATTTAAGCCTTCTAGGTTTATTTTCATTACTTGGATGGTGTAACCATTTCAAAAAAGAAGAACCATTAAAATATAAAAATTCTAACTGAAATTCCATATCTCTCAATTCTTTTAAAAATATTCCATTAAAAATAGCCCACAAAGGGAACATAAAAGGAAAAATTTCTCCCATAATTCCAAATTTTTTGTCAAATTTATTTTCCAATTTTTGTTCAAAAGAAAAACAAAAATTTTTAAAAAGTTTGAAAAATATAAAAAGTTGTCCAATTTCGTGTAAATTTTTCCAAATTGAAGTTTGGGCAAATAAAAGATGGCAATTATTTAAATAATTTTTGAATAAGTACAAAAATTCAATACAATCAGTATTTGGGTCTGAAAAAAATAAAAAAATTATTTTAAGAAATTAATATTTTTTGAGAAAAGTTTTAGAAAGATATTAGTGGTAGAGAAAAGTGAAAATTAAAATAAAAATTTACTTTAAAAGAAAATTAAAATAAATCAAAAAAAATTTAAATTTTCGAACTCCCTATGGACTTGTCCAAATCAGGGTTGCCGCCCGAAACCCGAAACCCGGCCTTTTTTTGTACCCGAAACCCGATACCCGAAATGAAAATTTTCCAACCCGAAACCCGTACCCGATATTTTTTCCAACCCGAAACCCGTGACCCGAAATTGGTTAAAACCCGAAATTTCTACCCGAAAACTTAGCCTTACCCGATTTTTTAAAATAAATTTTAAAAATTATAGAAAGAGATATTTATTTATAATTTCCTCTCTTTTTATTATGTTGGGCGGTGGTTGAGTGGGTAAGGCGACGGGCTCAATATTTTCAAAGGAGTGGGTTCGATTCCAGCGTTGGAAATGAGGCTTAAAAAAGTTTTTTTCAAGAATGTTTTTAAACTTGATTTTCAATTTAGATTTTTTAATTTTTTTAATATTTTAATCTTGAAAAACCATTAAAAATTGTAATTTAGTCATGAATTTTGCAAAATTTTCGCCTGCGGCGCTGAAATTAAGAGTTCAGGCTTCATGATCAACTAAACTTCAATAAAAATTTTTTGCCTGCGGTTCTGATAATTGAATTTTTCGCCTAAAGCCTTCTAAAATTCTCAAAATTTTCGCCTCCGGCGGTGAAAATGGGAGAAAATTACATGCTTTAATGAAGATAAAGCGGAGGGATTTAGTATATAGTGGGATTTTACCAATAAATTGGGATTTTACGAAGATATCCCTCTTAATCCCCAAATCCACCAATGTCAGTTTAATCTCTTCAGATTTGCCTCTCTCAATATTACCCTATATCCTAGTAAGCAACACAGCTTGTCTCCTTACAATTTAGTTCACCAATACCCGAAAACCCGAAAATAACCCGAATTTTTCGCCAAACCCGAAACCCGTACCCGAAATTTTTGCCAACCCGAAACCCGATACCCGAAATGAAAATTTTATAACCCGAAACCCGTACCCGATATATTTGCCAACCCGAAACCCGTGACCCGAAATGAAAACGCTCCAACCCGATACCCGTACCCGAAGATTTTTTGTACCCGCGGCAACCCTGGTCAAAATCCTAATTAATGTTCAGCCGAAAAATCCAATTTTTTCTTCGAATTAAAAACTTGTACAAACTTAGTCAGTCAAAGGCAAGGACTTCCCCCAATCTCTATAATAAAAAAAGATCTCCCCCACGTCCTCATTAATTAATATTAATTAAATTTTAAAAAATGAATCAAATATTATCATACTTATAAATTGTATCATTTCAATTCCATTAATCCAAACTGGAAGAGATTCTAAAGGCAAAATTAAATTTCCAAGACGTTTCCGAGGATAATTTAATTGATAAATTCCATAAAAATTATTTCTCCACTCTTTACTTATTTTTATAGAGCACAAAGTAAAACTTCTTTTATTTAATAAATAATCACAAAATTTTGCCATTTGGGTTGAAACTAATGAGAATTTGACAATTTGAGAAGTTGATAGAAAAGAGAAAACATCCAATAAACAATCCATATTTAAAATATTACTGAAAGAAAAAAATTAAGATTTAAGTGATGGTTGAATTCAACACCTCCAGGTTATACAATATTTTTCTTTTGATATTTGTAAGCAAATCCTCCCTATTTTTTTGTTTTTCTATTTTCTATTTAATTTTAGGTAAAAATTCTTACTTCAAGGAACCAAAATGTATTATTATTCTTTACCTATATTTAAGGTTTTAAGGAAATAATTATCGGACAAGAGCGTGACCAGGTGGTCGATTTCGGAAGGAGGAGGAGGGGGGGGGCTTCAGCCCCTCTGGCTACGCCCCTGTTATTGGAAGCTAATTATATCCATCACCAAATTATTTAAAACAACATACCTTTTAATATCATTCTCGATATTAATTAAATTTAACATTTTCATATCTTTTGCCAAAGAACATTTCTTTTGAACCTATAAAATTTTAAATAATTTTTTAAAAATTCACTAAAAACCTCTTCACATTTTTCTTCTTTTAATTCAAAATATTTTTCAAAATTATTATTCTCCAAAATTGTTTCACAAAAAATATTCCAAATAAAATGAGTAATTGTTCCACCAGTAACAGAAGTTTCAAATACACGTTCAGAATATAAAAGAACATCGCGAACAACTTCCTAAAGAAAATTATTTAAAAATAAAACAAAAATTTTTAAAAATCACTAACCGCTTTTTTCAATATTTCGAACCACAAATCATTCAAAGCAATTAGAAAATTATTTGTTTTGAAATCTTCAAGCTTTCTGGCCTAAAAAATTTAGAGTTAATGAGATTTTTAAAAATTCAATTAATTTCTACCAATAAAAATTTACAAATCGTTTAATTAACCTTTTTAAATTTACGTGATCTAACATCCCCAACAACCAAATTATGAGTAATTAGAAAATAAAATGACTAATTTAAGTTATTTGGATGGAAAAAAGAAATAAAAAAGTACAGAAAATTACTCATTTTCCAAAAAAACATTTAAAAATAATTTTAAAGACAAACCAAATTATCCATATATTCAACAAGCAATGATCGAATACTTGCATATAAATAATCAGAATGTCCATTATGTACCTAAATTAATTAATTAGATTAAATTTTATAAGAAAAACAAACCATTTTATAAGCCTTTTCATACATTAAATTTAAATCAAACTCAACGTCTTCAAATAAATAAGATTTTAAATGTTCAATCAAATAATTCAAATCATCATTATTGAGTTTATTATATAAATCACGATAAGGCACTCGACTGCCCGAAGCCATCTTTTGTAAACAAAATGTCACAAAAAATTAGTACTTCGAAAATTTGCAGATGCTTTTTTAAGTCAAGAACTGACTTAATTTAATTTTGCGGACTAAAAATTTGCGGATTCAAATTGCGGATCAAAATTTGCGGACCGACACTTGAGTAAAAAATAGGAAAAATTAAAATTATTTTTTTTTATTTTTCGGGACGGGATCCCGCGGAATTAATCCCGTAAATCCCGTTCGTCGCTTAAAATACGGGATTTCGGGACGGGATCCAGTAAAATCCCGTACGGGATCCTGTCCCGTGCCGCACACTATTCAGGACAGATTTGGAACTACTAAATCCTAGTTTTATAAATTTTAGATTTTCATTTCTATTTATTTAAAATTTAAATAATGCATTCATCTCCTCGATTTTCTAAAAACAATTGTCAACATAATGAGCGTAATTCTATGCTCTCAACTTCTAGTGGGGGCAGCTCTACTTTAATGGATCATGTTTCTCAAAAGCATTTACGGCAAAAGGGATATATTTCTGTAAATCAGGCAAATCGACAACAAAATTTCAGAAAGTATTGAAAATATTTTTTGTCACATTTTTATTTCTTATTTTAGATTTACTTCTTCTGTAAGTAAACCAGGCCAAGCACGAGAAACGCGTGAGGCAATTTCAAGAGTTTTAAATGCTGCAAATGCAAATCCTTTTGTTTGTTTTTGTTTTTTCTTTAATTTTCTTTTGTTTTTTAGAGACCTCCTCCAATATCGGAACCTATTGACTACGAAAAATTTATTACAGAAAAGAGTGCTCAACTTGAAAATGACAGAGATAGGGATATGCTTTTATTTTTTCGTGATGATGTTTCTGTGGGTTTTTTAAAAAAATTTTCTATTTTCCAAAAATTTCAGGGCTCAGAAATTTATCCTCGCGAGAGAACAGCCGTTCCTTCAATCAAAACTCGACATATTGAAGAAGCCAATTGGTTATTGGCAAAAGATGCCCTCAAATTCTATTGTTCTCCTTACATTGTTATAAATTTTAATTATTTAAAATTTGCTGGAGATTTCAAAAAATTTATTGCTCCAACTTTAAATAGTTATTTACGATTTGAATCTGATATTATTTTGGACGAAGAAAAATTGGTTTGTTGAGAATTTTTATAAAATTATTTTTAAATATTTTCTGTCAATTTTTAGCAATTTGCAGAACAGAATATGTCAAATGAAGTACTTAAGGAAGGAAATTTAGTTGTTTTGCCTGGGGACAGTATTGTTGACAGTTTCAAAGTAAGTTTTAAATTTTTATAAAAAATTTACATGCGGGTGAGGAGCAACTCAAGGAATTCCTAATCACGTAACAGACAAGTCAATGTCTTACCAATTCACGGAACGACCAAATCAAAACGACCAAATCGCGAAATATTTCAAAAATCAAAATATTCTTAGAAATCAGAATTTTTCAGAATTTTTTTTTAAATTCTGTTTTCTAAAATATTCGAATTGATTAAAAGTCTTATTTTTTAAAATATTCTTTGTTTTGGTAATTCCGTGACTTGTCGTTCACTGTCTTGTCCGTTCCTTGAGTTAGCACGACACGTTACATTTTAAGAGTGAAAAGAAGCGTTATTGCATCCTTCGCCGTTTGGATGACTGTAAAGTTTTTATTGAAGTTTACAAACAAAATACTACACAACAATTATTTCCTGCATTGGAAATTAAATCGGCGCAAATAAAGGGAACTAAAAGAGGAAAAACACTTCAAGTTTTTTTAAAATTTTTACTAGAATTTTAAAAATATTTTAAGGTTTGTTCTGTCGATTCTGATAAACGAACTCTTCTATTTTCTGCTGAAAATGAATCTGATCTTCAATTTTGGCTTTTCGAAATTGATAGAGCAATTGCTACAAAGCAGAATAAGGGTTTAATTTTTATTTAAATTTTTTTTGAAATTAATAATAAAAATTTTTCATAGAAATAATAACCTCGGAAGATAGTGCTTCACTTAATTCGTCTCTTCGTGAAAATTCTGCCAATGCATCGTATCCAACTGCAGGAAGTTCTTCTCATGACTCTGAAAGTTTAGCAAGCGAAGATAGTGTTGGAGGTTTTAATTATTAAAAAGGCTATTTTTGTCTTTCACTATTCTAAAATTAATTTTTAGTTCGCGATTCAATTTCGTTTTGGAGAGGAAAAAATGCGGCTGCAAAAGCTCTTCGGCCACCAATTATTGAAAGAAATAATTTATTCGCTCTTTATTGGGATTTGGAGGTTAGTTTTGATAGTAGAAATTAAGAATATTCGAAAAAAATGTTTAGCCATTACATGAACCTTCAAATGCCGAAAATAGCCCTTTAGCTGAACCTCTCGATGAAAATGAATTGAATAATGCAAAAAGTGTTCGACAAATTCTCCCCCTAATGTCGGCACAAAAATTACAACCAAAAAAGTCACTTTCCTTGCTTTCTGCTGATGATACTGGATCTACATCAACACTAAATGTGACGGCTGTGTCTCTTGTTAATAGAGAGGAATCAAGTCCAGATCCATCTCATTTCGAATTGTTTGGAGAAAAGTCTGAGTTACTCTTTACTGCGAAAGTCAAACAGTTTGAATTAAAGGCTCGTTTCTCGTGCCGAGATGCACCTGAACAGGTGGGAATTTGTTTAATTGTAAAATTCTATTAAATTTTAACTAAAAATTTTCAAAATATGTGTAATTATTTTTTAATTTTTTTATAATCATAGATTGAACCTTTCTTTCTTCGTCTTTTCCTTTTTGATGCAAGTCAAGGCAGTAGAATTTCTGAAGAATTTCATATTGAAATTCCAACTCAAAGGTACACTGAGTTACGAAATAGTAATTCTATGGTAGTCATTTCATCAAAACAACATAATGGAAGAGTTCACGGAATCAGTAGACAAAAAATACAATCAGCAGAAAGAGTAATTTAAATTTATCAAAAATTTTTTGTAAAATATTTTAGATAATTTGTTCAATTCAAAATCCTCGTCCCGATTTATATTTGGTAGCTATTGTTGAAAGAATTCTCTCTGATATTCCTGCTGATATTTATACAAAGCCTAATAATTCAATAGATGCTAAAACATCAGTAAAAATACAGAAATCTATTTCTGCATCCTTTTTACGCCTTAGCCATCTGAAAACAACTTTTGCCTGGACAGCAACGTAATTATTTAACTTATTGTTGTTTTAAGTAAATTTTGACCTTCCAGACCAATTTTTCCGTCACTTACAAATGGTGGAAGTTATTCAGTCCAAAATAGTTGCATTCGGAATTGTCCAATTTATAAATGTGATGGACGTTTGACCGATGTTGATCTACAAAAATTATTAATTGATATGCAGAAACCAGAGAGAACAGGCAAATGGGCATATCTCCCCAATGCTGGGTTAACTTTAATGGCTGATATTACATCAATTTCGAGCCAAATACCTAGTGAGTATAATTTAAAAATCTTTTCGGGTCTACAATTGATTTAATCAAAAATTAATTAAACTAAAATTTAGTGCGTATTTCTTCTACATATCATCCACTTCGTCCTTGGAGAGCAATTACTCCTGAAGGTACTGAGGTGACTCCCTCTCCTTCGCCATCTTTTGAGTTGCAATCATTTGTGGAACAAAGTGTTGAACCACATCGCGGATTTACTAACTTATTATATGTAAATATCTTTCAATTTTTTAAAAATATATTTATTAGGTCTATCCAATTTCACTCAACTATTCTGCCCAAAAAACATTCACTCGTGCACGTAATATTGTGTGTAACATAAAATGGGTTTGTAATAGGCAATTTGATAAAAACAGTTCATCACGCTCTTTTTCTTCAATATCTTCCCCCCAATCGTCACCAATCTTTAATCGAATAGAACCCAATGGACCTTTAGTTAAATCTTACAATTGTGCAGTGCAATATCACGAACAATGGCCTTATTTTAATGATGAAATAAAAATTCAATTGCCTACAGCGCTTGATTTAACTGATCATCTACTTTTCACTTTTAGTCACGTTTCTGTTGCAAATGCACTCTCTGGAAAACAAAATAATGAAGTTAAATTAAAATTTAAATAATATTTTTTAAATTAATTTTCAGCAAATAGAAACTCCAATTGGCTATTCTTGGCTTCCATTTACTTGTGAGAACAATCTTGGACTTTTACAGTTAATTATGTCCTCAAATGTGGAGGAATTTGAATTACCTGTTGCTGCAAATCTTCCAAAAAATTATTTTAATTTTGGCCTAACTGGAGGAAATAAAGAAGTAAAACATCAAAATAAAATAATTTTAAACCTTAATATTTTTTACTAAATTTAGGGAACAATTTCTCAATTTTTTCATTCTGAGATGCCTAAACTTGTTGATGGTGGAAAGAGTTTATTTAAAGTTCGTCTCCGCCTAATTTCTACAATTTTTACCACTGAAGAGCGTATCCAGAATTTTTTCCAACTTTGTCAATGCAATTTTAGTGCATTTGAAAGTTTAGGTTCTATAATGGATTTAGCTTCAACTACTAACAGTAATAACAATGATTCGCCTATTTTAAAAAATCGTTACAATGAAAATAATATTTGCTCGGCCTCTGATTTACATGAAAGTCTCTCTTCATCACTTGAACAAAATTTAAACGGTGAACAAGAACTTGTTAATGTTGTTGAGGTGAATATTGAGGGGTTAATTGACCTTAAAATAAAAATATTTTATTTAGCTTTTGGCATCTGTTGATATTGTCAGAATAATTCCATTTGTTGAGGTTATCTTCAATCGTCTATTTAGCCTTTTAACTATTTCAAAAACTCAAGAACTCGCACTTACCTCATTGAGGTTAATTATTTTTTATTTAATTCTTTTCATTTTCCAAATTTAGCACAATAGTTAAATTAGTTAATTCTCTGTATGTTGGTCGTAAGTCAGGAAGGTCCATTCTCCGTAATTATATTCGTCTTCATTTTAATTCCACTATTGGAAATCAAACTGGAGATTGTGAAACACTTCATGGATCTATTTGTAAATTAATTCCGGCTTTGGTAAAACTTGATAAAAATATAATATTTTGATTTTAATTTTAAGTTTAATAAATACGAGCGTGGAAATGATATTTCCTCTCTTGACATTCAATGCTTACTACGCCAGCTATGGTTTTTATTTGATTGTTGTACCAAATCAATGGCACATTGGCTAATTTTAAGTAATTTGATACGAGCACCACGAACTTATCGTTTTCCGAATGATCAGTATTTTTGTTTAGAGGAACTTTTTAATTCTCTTATGGAACAAATTATTGAGAAACATAATAAATATCCTGAAGAATGTCGTTCTGCTAATTTGGCAATGGCTGTTTTTATTAAAGTTTGTTTTTATAAAAATTATCAAAAATCTTTTAAATTCTAGTATTGTTTGAGTTTAATGGATCGTCATCAAATTATGAAAGAATTACATAGCATTGTTAGAACTATGGATTCGGTTGGCTCTAGGGTAAAGATTAAAAAAATATTTCCTTAATATTTTTCCCTTCAGAATTTCCGCATTTATAAATTTGAATTGCTTCATGTACTCACTGGACATGAGCATTGGATCCCTCTTTGTTTGGTATTAAATCTCATTTGAGAAAATAATTTAAATTTGCTTTATTTTAGCCTTTATTAACTGACAAATACGGGAATGTAATGCGGGGCGACTCTATTATCTTTGATGGTTTTTTTTGATTTTCAAACAATATTTTAATTATATTTTATTAATAAGGTCTTTCTTCTCAAAACCAACCATCAAAAGCTGGAGGTGCTGGCGGATTCTTTTCCAAATTATTTTCACATATTTTCTCGCCTCCTTATGCCTCACATGAATCAAATGAAATTGACAGATGTATAGAAAGTTTTATTTTCTTTTTTCTTATAAATATTTTTTCAGATTCAACAACATATAGCGAGCACTTCTTTTGCAGTGAAACTTATTGCAGTGTTCACTTTTTGCTAGGATTGCTTTTCCAAGAATTGACATTCTCACTAAAGGAATCACGCGAATATAGACGTAAAATCATTCGGCTTCTTCGTAATTTATTAGCAAAACATTGCCAGGACCAGAGATATGGTGACACCGTAAGTTCCGAAATTAAATTTATATTTTTATGTAAGATTAAAAATATTTTTATTTTGAATAATTTTGTATTTCAGTCAGCTCGTAACCGAATAGCCATTCTATACTTACCTTTAGTTCGTTTTGTAACCGAACATATTCGTGAATTGGAAGCTACTTCTAAAGGATTAATAAAAAATGAATCACCAATGTTATCGCCAGTAACAAGGCCTAAAGGTTTTAAATAAAATAAATTTTAATTATCTGATTCTAGTTTATTATTAAAATTTATTTTTTTAAATTTATTAACTATTTTCTAGTCAATTCTTCTGATTTTTCGTCACTTTCGAGTGCTGGTGCTGAAACATTAAAGCAACGTCTTACTGCTGCAACTAGCACTCCAAGCTCTCATCCTTCTAGCAATTCAAATCTTTGTAGAAACAGTAACCTTACTACCGTCTCTCTCCATACAAATTCGCCTTCCCAGGATACCAGTAGCAAGACATCACAAATTGACAAACAACCGAATTCTGTTGTTGTGCTTTTGGCTGAAAAGCTAGATAAAGTTAATTTTTGAATATTAAAAAATATTTTTTTATTATTTTAATTCAGTCTGAAGTTCGCGATCTCATCCTTACCTCTTTATACGTGCTTAGCAACATTCCTAAAAAAATCTTGGCCGCATTCTGGAATGCCCAAGAAGCAGCATTGTTTACAACAAAAATTCAACAACAACAAGTCTCCATTACTGACAAAAATATCAATGCCAGTGATGAGCCAATTACAACACGACAACAACCACAAAATTTGCTGCTAGATTTTATTAGATTTTTGGAATTGGCACTGTTAACTTTTCGTTATCGTGGGCGTTCCTATCATATTGTGCAGCAAGAGAAGAGGTATTTTTAAAAATAATTTTGGAATTCTTTTGTTGTTTTTGAAGTAAAATAATAGACAATATTATTCATTGAATGTAAATGATTAAAAAAATTTTTTAGAATGAAACATAAAAATGATGCCCCATACTCTGTTCATAATAATTATGATACATGCTATTCACAGGCAGATGGATGCTTTGCTAAAACAGCGACAACAAATGATTTTTCGGGTAAATATTTAAAATTAATTCTGTAAATATCAAAGTTTTTTAAATTAAAAATTATTTATTTAAAGAATCGTTTGGTGCTCAAAGCGCTGTAGATGACGGAAATGGAACGACAAGTTTTCAAATGGATTGTCATTTAGCCCAAGAGGTTGCATTAGTTGTTTTGGAATGTATTCAAATAATTTCCAATCAAGTTTCGGTAAATAAACTTGTCAAATATTTTAATTAATTTTTTCAAGTTAAAAACAAAATATAATACAACTAAATATTATGATGCTGTTTTTGTTCGCCTTTTAAATCTGGAATTGGAATTACTCAGCGAAAATTGGCCAGAGACTATTAGATTGCAGACATTGGCAGCACTTGCAGTTTTTGTCAATCTTGTAAATTATTCTTGAAAAATTATATTTTTTCTATTTCTTTAAAGTTCTCTTCTCGTTTCTTCCATTCTGGGCCTTTGGATTGTCTCTCTACTTTAGTGAAGACGTTGCTCTTACAATTAAATAGTCGAATATCAAGAATTCAAACATCGGCAGCAGCTCTTTTACAATTAATTTTGAAAGGTGGATTTGATGCTTCTACGGCATTTTCAGGTAGAATATTTTTATGAATTGAGGTTTAAAAAAATTTTTTTAGCAAAACTTTCTTGTTCCAATTTAAACTTACAAAAGAATCATTCCAATTATTCAATGTTATTAACCGAAAAGTTGGGCCGTCCAGGAGCACAAATTTCTGTTGCGTTAGCGCGTTTACTTAGCGAGAAACAATTAGATAATTTTCGTTTTGAGAGAGGTCTGCTCAAAATTGAATCTTTGGTTGCTGGTGGAAATGATAAACAACAATCTACTAATTCCTCTTCTCTTGTAATTACTTCACTTTTTGAGAGAGCTGTTTTAGTAAGTTATTTTTTGTAATTAAAAGCTTAATAAAAATAATCTTTATTGAAATATCGTTTTAGACATTAACTTTAAAATAATTTATTTATAAAGAACAATTAGCCAAAATTTATTTGAATTATTTTTATTGATAACAGGAATTAGTAAAACAACTTCGTGGCGTTCTTGAAGCAACTCGAGCAATTACTGATATGATTAATAATCCAGTAAATTTTTTATTCTTTTATTTAGTACTTAAATCTATATTTCCGAAATATTAGATACAAATGGCTGATTTACATGTACAATTGGCTGATAGCTATCGTGGCTCTGCCGCATTACGATCTGAATTCTTTGATGCCCTTTCAAATATACACATTACTGAAGGTTTATTTTACTTTTTTAGTTTGTCAAACTTTTCATTTTTACAAGGTTGGTACTCGGAAGCTGCCGTTTGCCAAGCTCATTCACTCGCAATTATTGGAAAAGAGCTTCAAACAAAAGGCTTAATTGCTCAAACAGATTGGTCTCTTCTTGATATTCTAAACAAACAAATTGCTGTTGAAGAAGAGCTTTTTAGTAATGCAACTGTTGGAAATACTCAACTTGGTGGATTTACTATCGTGAGAATAATTATAAACTAAAAATAAAAAATTATTTTTAGGAAGATTTTACACGAAAAGTTGATGATTTGGTTAGGACGGTGTTACTTAGTGAACGTTATGAGGCTATTGGTCCAATATATCGTCTTTCAATTCCAATTTTTGAGAAGCAGTTAGACTTTAAGGTTTTTTATGATAGTAAGTTTTAAATATTTTTCCGTTCCAGTATCTTGTTGGGATATATGCCGAACTTCAACAAGCATCTTCAAGGGCAGCTGAAATTAAATTAAACTCAAAAAGACATTTGGGTTCTTATTTCAAAGTTGTATTTCATGGAGAGTCACATTTTTGGTAGCTGAGATTTTTATTTCAAGTTTTATTAAAAATATAATTTAAGTGATGAACACAAAACTGAATGGGTATATCGAGAGCCAAAACTTACTTCTTTGGCTGAAGCGTGTGATCATATGATTGAATCTGTTCGGCTTGCTCTTGGGCATGATCGAGTCCAAATTTTAAATGACAAATCAATAGACGAAGCCAATCTAGATCCATCAATTGCTTTCATTCAAGTAGCTTATATAGAACCCTCACCTTCTTCACCCAATAATTCTAAAAACAAAAATACAAGTACTAAAAGTAGCAGCAATACTGATTCTTCTTCCACTAGCCAATCAACCAGTGAAAATATTTTAACAAATGAAGAGAAGATAGATTTAATGGCATATAATTCACATACAAATATTTGGACATTTATTCAAGAAGAAAAGTTGATTGATAATAATGTTGACGAGAATGAACAAGAAATGGCTAGAACAGCTTTGAGAAGATTAATTTTGACTGGTAACTTTTAATGATTTTTTAAAATAAAATACTTTTTTAAGTCGAAAGTCCATTCCCAAATACTCGTCGTCGTCAAAGAATTGTTCAAACAGAAGAAAATATCCTTTCACCGTTAGAGCTTGCTTGCGAATGTTTAATTTTCAAAGCTGGTCAAATCCGACGAATTCTTACTGCTGCAGATATTCCTCGTTCACATTATGGAATTCACGATAAAGAGACATTGAAGCGATTAGATTTAAAGCAATTACAATTGTTTTTGCAAGGCTCTGTTAGTCCAACTGTATGTAAATATTTCTTGTTTTGATTTTTTCTAAATTTTCATTTAATTTTTAACAGGTAAATGCAGGATTGTTAGCCTATGCTGAATCTTTTACAAGCCCTGCTCAAAAACAAAGATATGGTAAAAATGGAATTGGCCGTTTAGTTGTTGCATTCAAGTAAATTAAATAAATTTTAAGTCATTTGCATTTTTTAAATTTAAGAACTTTAATCGCTGAATTAGACGTTGCACTTCGAGTTAATGAGGCAGCATTAGCTGGAGATCGTGTAGAATATCAAAGTATGTTAAGACAATCGTTTGATGGAATGCTTGAACGCCTTTCAATGTTTTTTGAAGGAGAAAAGGTGAATAAAATAAATTATATTTTTAATTTTATTTACAAAATTTTAAGTTTTTACAAAAGCCGGGGGAGTCTGATTCTGATGACACTCTTTCTCTTGGTGTTTTTGGTCGTATCGAACGAACAGATAGTTCTGCTGCAGAGATGCACATTTTTGACTCAATTAGTGGATTAAATGGATAAAACATTTTATTAGATTAAATCAAGTTTAGGGGTAGGTACATGCTAGTAGAAATTATTGTTTTCTTTTAATTTCATTTTTTGGTGCTTTTAATTGACAGCTTTATTTTTCCTTCTTTGCCAACATCTTTCATTAATAATTGTGCTCACTAATAATCTATAAGTAAGGCAAAACTATGCATTAATATCTTGGTTAAAAGGTTTTGACGTTTCTTAGTTAGTCAGCCTTGTCCAGGTTATACGTCCAACCAAACTACGTCCGAACTAATCAAGCCACTTTGCACGCAGTGTAATGATCCAGACTTTGATTGAACGTATAATCTTGACAAGACTTACAAGTTTTGCCTTACTCTCTACTAACTTAATAAAAATGTTTTGGAATTTAGAGAACGGCTAGGCAGAATAATAAAATTGAAATTGATAAAAAATATTTTCCCTGCCTAGTCTTATTAGAGAGTGATGGCCATAATTAAATTTATCTTTATGTTTATTAATTAGTTTTTGTTATTCAACAATATACCTATTTTATAATACTAGTGTTAAAAAAATGCCCATTTCATTAATTTCACTCAAAATTTTTCAATTGGTCAACATATACATATATTTTAAATATTTTTATAAGTTTTTAATTTTATTCTGTTGATCTCTTTCATGCATTTTATGTTTTTGTTGTGCTAAATATTGCTCTAGACCTTTTGCCTCCCTTCTTTCGCAGCTAGTTTTTGTCTTTTTAAATTTTAAATAAAATTAAATAATTTTTTAAACTTTATTATTAACTACATTATAGGTACCTATATTTTTTAATATGCTACTACATATATCCCTTTTATAAACAAGTTTTTTGAAAATGTCTTTTAAAGGGATTTACACGAGAACTTTTAATATAAGAGAAAGGAGAAAATTGAGAGTATGTTCTCTCCTGACAACTAATTTTGTGAAGAACATTAAATTGTTGCTGTGATCTCGAACGACCTAGATTTTTAATGATGTTGGTTGGGCGGAAACTAACCTTTTGATAGAAAAAAACTTATTATGCACTTTCTCTTATAGAAAGATTTTTTAAATTATTTTACAAATATAAACTCTAAAATAATTAAAATTTATCCTCTAAATTATTAAAAAAACAATGTCAATTATTTTTTTATTGACAACCATTGTAATATTTACCAGTTTAGAATTAAATTACATAATAGCACAAGAAGAAAGTGAGTACATAATTAATAATGGGAGAAAACAACCTCGGATATTAGAAAATTTCCAGTTCAGACGCCGGTTCCATAGAAACCCGCCAACCTTATTTAAAACACTTTATCAGGGGTTTATACTTTATAAGAGAGAAAGCAAAATTGTAAAATTGTGACTGACAGGAAACACCGTTGACGTTCATGCCAAATAAGACCTTGCCCCCAACTTTTAGTCTTCCATTTCGTTTTCCCTACATCTTACTCGGATATATCTTAAAATAAAACTAAAAAAATTAACATTGAATTAATAATATCCTTTTGTTGGTTCTCTTTCACCATGCCTTCAACGTTGTATGGAGCCTATGGCAACAATTGAAAAGTCAATTTCAAATATGTACAGAAATTATGAGAAAGTCTGTGAAAAATTAGATAAATCTGCCCATTGCTCTCAAAAATGTTCTCTTCAAGACCAATCAGCATTCTTCCAATATACAACTTTTTATCGAATACATTGTATTGACTTTGAGGAGGAACTTGAATCTGTACTTCCTTGTCTTCGTGAAGCTGCTTATAAAGCTGATATTGGTGTTTTTTGATTTTGAAATTGTTTTATTAAAAATTAAAATATAATACTGTATTTTTCCAAATAAAGCCCCACTCCCAATTGGAGCCCCGCTTCCTAATACAGTCCCAGTCTGGAGGTCTGTTGAAAACTAAAGCTCCATGGGGTTGGATTTGGAAAAATATATTTACATAGTTTAAATTAATGTTTATTTTTGGGTAAATAATTATAGGAAAATTAGGGTGATAAGGCAAAAATGTTTTAAAGTAGCTGATAAAGATTAAGACAATCTTTCATTTATAGTATATAGAAAAGTATTTTTAATTTTTTCTTTGCACTAATCATTCAAAATAACTTTATTTATTTTCTGTTAAAATTCAACAAAAAAAGAATAATTTTAAAAAAAAAAGAATAATTTTTTAAAGTTTGTCGAGAAAAATGCGTGGCCAAGCAACCAGCAGAAAAACAAATGAATAAAGAAGAACGCCAAAAACAGCTTTGCAAGTGAGTAAAGTAATAATGGAAAAGGGGTTAATTTATTCTGAAATTTCCAAAAAACTTTTACCTATTCCAACAAATTTGTGAGAAAATAAAACTACGAAAATTCATCAAAAAATATTTTTTATTTTTTTAGAAATGTTGAATGTGCCACAATTTGTTATGTAAATCAATTAAGTAATTCATGCCCATCTGCTAAACAAGTTTTAATTGTAAGTTGTTGTTATTGTTAAAATATTTTAATTTTAAAAGAAATTAAATGTTCGTATTGCAAATGAAATGCGTAGACTTACAAAAGATGAAGATTTTGAAAAACTTTCAAGTCAATGTCAAAGAGTTCATTTAGGGGAGTATTTACAGAAAAGATTAATTGAATCAACAAAATAAATTTTTAAAAAAAGGAAGGAGGGGGTGGGTCATAAAATAAATTTTCTAATTTTTCTGAATGATCCAGAAATACTATTAATTTATTGCACTTTTTAAAAAAATTTTCAAAAATAGCACAAAATATATTTAAATGCACACAAAAATAAAATAATTTATTTTCCAATCATTTTTTTTCTTTTTTTAATTTTCTTCTTTTTCTTTTACTAATTTAATACAACAACATTTAGATTTATTAAATTTTTGTTCAATTTGTGGTAAAATAATTAAAATAAAAGAAATTAAAATAAATATAGAGCCAATAATGAATAAATAATTTATTGAAATTGAATTAAATAATATATCGATTACTGTAAATTTTTAAAATTAATTTAATTTAAATTATATTTTAAAATTACCAGTACTAAGAGGAATTCCAAAAATCATTCCAATAGACACAATTAAAGGCCCGAGTATTACAATACCAAAATTAACAAGGGAATTAAATACTTTAATTATTTAAACAATTAATTTTTTAAATTAAATTGAAAGGAAAAATTAAAGTAAAGATATTACTGTATTTACTCAAATAATAATCCTTTCCCTATTAATTACCCCTCCTCTCAAACTTATAATTATCCTTTAATATAATTACCCCTCCCTCCCTCAAAAAATAATTACCTCTTGAAAAGCCTTTCTAAAATCTCTCAAATAATCTCCCCTCTTAATTTATTACCCCCGTCAGTGAAAGATTGATACAATAATTACCCAGGGTAATTATTATAGTAAATTAGTTAGGGGGTTGAGGTTATCGGGTCGGGCCGACCGTGTCTTTTTCGTGCCAAAATTCGATGCCCGACTCGCTCTTTCGGACCGGGCCCCCAACCCTAACGGTAATCTCTACTTTAAATTTAATTAAAAAAAACCAACAAAGAATTAAAAAGGCACTTCCAATTAATTCTATCCAAGGTATATATTCCCAATTTAAATAATCTATTCCACAAAATAAAAAAATAAAAGAAACAATTCCATTCAAAAATAAATTAGTTAACCCCAATAAAGACATAAATAAAGATATTTGACTTAGTGAAGAATTTTTGAAAAATTTTTTGAAAAAAACCTTTAAATATTTATTAATTTTAATTAATTAAAAAATAAACTGCCTTATAAAAAGAAGCAAAAAGAGCACTTAAAATAACCAAAATAATTCCAGATAAATTATTTCCAAAAAATTCAGAATCAAAAGAAATAATAACAACTCCACTGATTGCTAATGCTGTTGCTATTGTCTTTAAATTAAATTAAACAAAATTTTTTGTTTTTCAAAAAAGGATTATTTAGGTAAAGGTTGGGCACAAAATCAGTTATCAACTAAGGTTGTCGGAAAGTTGGAAATCTTCAGATATTTGGATCCGATAACTTTATTATCGACTAGTCCTGCTTATTTTGGTTAATCAAAATTTAAAAAAATGGTTTTCGATTTTGAGTGTTAATTAAATACCGGATTTTATTTTGGGGGATTTTTACTAAAAATCACTCATTTCCAAAAATTTTGTTTTTATGACACACAAAAACGGTTAATTTTTGGCAAAAAATATCAAAATTTTCCAATTTTAGCCTGTCTTGTTCAATTAAATTTTAATTTTGTGTTATTTTTATATTTTTATATAAAAGTTCATTGAAATTCTTTACTTTAAAAATTTCACTTGTTTCTTCCCTTTCCAATCAAATTTTTCAAAAATTTTAAAATCAAAGAAAACCTTAATACAACTAAAATTCTCTCCCAACAATATCCACTCTAATAAATAAACTATAGCACTATTTGTACTCATTATTGAAGTAGCCGTACTTGCAGATATTTTAATTAAAGCTCTAGCATATAAATAATTCGAGCAAGTCCACAAAATTAATAAAATAATTAAATGTCCAATTCTTTTTTTAAATTTTTGTTGAAATTTTAAAATTTGTAAAGCTTTTAAATGTTCTTCTTTTAATAATTTTTTGTTTCTTTTTAAACAAATAAAATAAAAAATAAATAAAGGATAACAGAAAAACATAAAACAAGTCCCAAACCAAACCTTTTTTAATTAAAATTAAAAATATTTTTTTTTGGAAAGTTAAACCATAAAGAAAGGAGCAAAAACATGTTTTTTGTCTATAACCATAACAGATTTTCGAAATTGTGTTGCCAAAGCCCATGACGTGGCAATTGAAAAAATGAACAAAAAACTTGCTAGAAACTATAAAATAAAAAATATATTTTTTTAAAAATTAATTTTTATCTTAAAATTACAATTCCAAAATTGTGGAATTAATTCTAGAAGGAATTCAAAGATTAAATAGAGGATTTCAAAAATTTAATTGAAAATTCGATTTTAGAATTTTTTTTGATTTTC